CACAGTGTGTTGCCAGTGCAGACCTTTCCGGCGCCCACAGATCACAAGCGTACATAGTTAGAATACAATCATATGCACACTTAAGACAGAAAAAAGTCTTAGAATTCCCAGCATGCCGAAGCCAGCATGGCAGCCTGGGAATTCTAGGAATCTTTTAAGGTTTACACTTTTAAAATAGGATGTGCCATTCAAGAAAGATTTGTGCTTCCCTATGTTCTTTTAAGAACCAGTCCCAGAAGGCTGAAGGGGAGGAGAAACAAAACTCTGGAAAGTGACCCAGAGGCACTGGGATCTAGTGCTGCTGGTAGGATTTATAGGTTCCAAAGATCTGTGTGTGTGTGTGTGTGTGTGTGTGTGTGTGTGTGTGTGTGTGTGAGAGAGAGAGAGAGAGAGAGAGAGAGAGAGAGAGAGAGAGAGAGAGAGAGAGAGAGAGAGAGAGAGAGATTTTTTCCTTGGGAAATGTTGCATCTGAAAAAAATACTCAAGCCTGCTTGGATAAAAATTCTTATCTACCCCACATATCTCATTCAATACAATTCCCTCCCCCACTAAAAAAAATTCCCAACCACCAGCAACTGCAACTAATTATCAGTGAAGTCTGCAAAGCCTGGATTCATTTATACACTGCCAGTAACTTGGGGGAAGCTGAAAGAAGTTTCTTTTCAAAAGCTGCTGCTGTTCATGGTGGTGGCACCCAGCTACTTTGTCTGTTCATGGTGAACTTGCAAAAGAAATGAACCCTGTGGAGATGATGATTGTGTAATGAAAAGGGCCAGCAAACAAAGCTTTGAAATGAACTGCTTCCTGCCTGATTTTTAAGAGGAGTAGCAAGAAGTGGTTGTATTTGGGGGCAAAGTAGAAGACTCCTGGTGTGGGGAAGCCTCTAATTTCAGAAATGTAGAAAAGGGGATTTCAGCTTTTCTCTCATGACTCATGAAAGGGATGGTATTGTGGTACATGTGTGGTATGGGGGGCAGGTTTCAAATTCATACTGGTCTCCCAAAATAATTTTAAAAAAATATTTGGGCCCTGATGCTAAGGGTGGTTCACTAATAGTAGTAGGAAAGCCAGTAGGAAAGATGATAGTTCCTATAAGGATAATATGATAGCTGGTACTTGTCCAGACAGATTTTAAATTTCAAAATATTACCTAATATATGATAGAGCAAACAACTCCCTCATTTCTTATTTTATATTCTTGATATCAATAACATCGTCCTAAAATTTTGTGGCTTCTATAAGCATGTTTCCAACTAGGAGATTTTAGCTAGATAATGACCTCAATTTGTGCATCACAATAGGGAATTGTTTAAACCACCAGCTACTCATGACCATGTGGGGCCAAGGGTCTCCCAACCACTGCCACTACTTTGCTGAACAACCCAAGAATGCCCTTGTGGAACGCAGTCTGCCAATTCATTTTGAACTCTGCCTCAGTTAAGCGAAGTTCTGAAAGCAACCACCTCAAATCCTTGCAGTGATTAGGTAGAGTTCATTTTAGAGCTGTACTTTTGAATATATCCTAGCAAAAGGCTCTAGGAAATGTTGCATAGAATGTCTTAGCCAAACCTCTTGCCTATGGAAAAGAGAATGACACCACAGGCCTTGCCTCATGCCTACAAAGTGGTTTATCCAAGTAGGGACTGCTTCCCTTGTTAGCCTGCTAAAATGGAGGAACCAGGAGTCACTCAGCGACACCCATCATTTCCCAGATCAGCCTTTCAAAATGTTGTTTGTAGATAGGAGAGTAACTTCCAGATTATATTTCCTTACACCAACATTTCCTGGACTTTAAAAAAGCTGCCCTACATTGGAAATAGCTGTGAAGGAAAGATTGTTACTTTAATTTCATCTCTGGCTTCCAAAGAAAAGCATTAAGTAGGTGGCAACAAGGAAGGTTCTTGTTTCGTTCAATTCTGATAGGGCACCTAATCTGAGAGAGCTCCAGCGCTCCACAGTGACCATTTATTCAAAAGGACATGTTTCCCAATATGCAGATCTTTCTGACAGAGATTATCTTGCAAAGCAGCCTTTGCAGAACATCTGTTTAAATGCTTTGCCTTTGGCTCATTCCCAAGCATATGAGCAGCACCAGATTTAAACAGGCGAAGAAAAAGACATCCTGCCATCAATTGTTTTGTGGGTAAATGTTACTTTCCCAAATATCCACAGAATTTATGCAAATTCATGGAGGAAGCAATGGTGTTACCCCAAGAGTCCATCAGGGTAAGGTCAGAACTCACCAGAGAACTGACCCCCCCCTCCCTCCCCTGCACCTAGTATGGGAAGAATTCACCCTGGCATCTCTCTAAGGTCAGAACCTATCAAAGAAAGAGGGAAAGTGTGGGCAGGGGCAAATAAGAGACTCTGGAGACCAGGATATGAGCTTTCCAGCATCTTTCCCTCCTGCCCCCCAAAAACCGCCCATTACATGGGCAAAAAGCCAGTCTACCAAGAAAAATGGAGGGTATGAGGATGAAGGAACCAAGACTGCTTCTGCATAAATCGGAGTTGGTTTATAATCACGGAGGGTGTATCCTACAAGGCTGCACACTTAACTTTTAGCCATCTTCATTTCCTTGGAAAGAAGGGCCAACTGAGATGAAACATGGGTGATTCATGACTGGACTTTCCTGTCTCTATTTAATTTTCAACCATAGAGCCTGGCCAGGGATGTGGGATGCTCCAAGCTGAATCAGGACACCACCACCAGAAGCTGAGTTCACTCTTTTCCCCTTATGCCATCTTGTTTAAAATTCTTTCCACATCCCTTGCTAGCAAAAACAAAAAAAAAGTACATTATTTACTGTATTATGGAAAACTGGCCATTGAGTTTCTCACTCACATTAAAATCCAAAATCCAATCTAACAGTGGCTGCCCAGCTCAATGTGAAAATCAAAATTTATGAACATAAGAACAAAAGTCCTCCCCTGTGTTTATTCCTGCCCATTTTCCATGTCTGAGCCTAGATCTCTTCACAATCATTTATATTCAGTGGAACTAGTGATTGCAGGACAGATATCTGAAGGCACTGTGCTGCCTGGGTCAGCATGATGAGGAGACAACTTGGGTTCCAGTCCCCACTGGTGCATGAAGCCTCTGGGCAGTCAATGATTCTCATCCTCATCTACCTCACAGGCTTGTTCCAAGGATAGAGTGGAGAGGAAGACAACTTTGTGACTCCCTTGGGTTTCTGGAAAGAAAAGAAAATGCAGGATACAGGTGTAATAATAATAATCTTACCTGAGTGTTTGCAACCAAAAGAACCGGAGGGCACCAGGTCATGAAAGGGTGTCATCGATATATCTAAGCCAGAATCTTCCAGCAATTGTGTTTGCTGTCCCTAACTTTTTAATCAAAAAGTGTGCATATATCACAGCTGTACAGGAGTCTTTTTAAGGTACTCACCAGAACAAACTAGAACAATCTTCACATGCTGCCCAGACCAGCAGGACATAAAAGTTATGTTGAGATCAACTGATTCTAGATGATCTAGACGAATAGCAAAGATTGCTTTCTCCCAACTATTTAGCAGCGAGTTCCACTTGTCTATCCTAAATTAAACTGCTGAAATGTAGGAAGTTTGGGGTAACCAGAAATGGATTGTTGTGTGAAAGATCCACTCATTTCCAGAAGTCATTAACAAATTTCTGGACTCCTGGCTCCATTTAGTGGATGTTAGCACTCTTAAGCAAAACAAAGCAGATCTCATTAGCCTTAAGTTTGCCCACTGGACTAGTCAAAGCGATTTCTCTCTTAAAACACCCCCCCCCCAGTGCATTTAAGTTTTTCAACCTGATAGCGTTCTGATCAGACTGAAGTTTTTGCTTAATGCCATCTCTACAGATACTTTGTGAATGGAAGATTACATCATCACACTTCTCAGAAACAAGCACACTGTGAATAACTCTTGTGGTTTTGGTAACTTGAGTGTTCAGAACAGCTAGACCAGAAACTTAAATTGATCCTTGAAAGTTGTTTTATTTGCTCTACTTAACATTTTTATATGTAGTAGATAAGCCTCGTTCCTCAACTATTTAAAAAATCTGTTAATATCCATGTTATCTTCCATTTTCCTCCCACAGCAGAATGGCTTGGATTGTAAACGGCTATACTGTTTTCACAAGAGGAAGAGTGACTTCTGTCAATCCAGTTTAAACTGCTCCCACGTCATTCCCAGGGTCCTGCAATCCCCAGGAGCAGATTTTCAGGGGACACAAGGGGCTGCAAAAAGAAGGGGGAGGCAGCAATGGAGTGCGACTCAGTTCTTTCATGGAAGGGAGTTAGGATCCAAGCCAATGTAAACAATCAAGAAGGGAGATCAAGCAGCATTCTTAATTTGGAACAAGAGTCACTGAACACGAGTTCATGAGTACTACTGGTATGATACCCTCCGGAAGAAGGAAAGTTGTGCACAGGCCTGGGTGCAAGCTTCGCACATACTGGCAAGTTCAATTTCATTTTGTCTTTCAAATATTTTTCCTCATTATTGCATCTCAAAAAGCTACTCCAAGTTCTTCCTTGATTTCCCTCCACTAGGATTTCTGTGAAAGGTTTTTCATAGGTTATAAAGTTTCATATAAAATTGTATGATTAATGCACGTGAATGAAAGCACACTGAAGACTGCAAATCAGCTGCTGTATGTGCACATAAGCTGGGAAGCCGTTCCCCGGCATATGGACAGGCAGGATCATCATGTTACAAACCAGCTGGGAATTGCTCAGCTTCCTGTATAGACAAGATCTTGGTAATTTGGCAAAGTGTGAACCTGCAGCCCTAAGAAGCATAAACCAGTCATAAGCACTAATGACATCTTAGATGAAAAGCTACCAATAAGCATCCACCAATAAACCTTATTGCACAGTTACACTAACCAATAATGTATACATTTATTTTTTAATGTAAAGATCAATCAAATCTTCATCTCTTTAAAACTGCAGTGACTGCTGAACAGTATCTCTTAAACTGTACTGTGTGTCCATGAAATTAGAAGTGTACTTTCAGAGTGTACAGGGAAATTTTATTGACATTTTAGAGAACTTGCTTGTGTTGCAAATTCAGAACGTGCTAGATTTTTATACATTTTTCAGTCTTGTTTTGTTTGGCCTCATTTGCAGGTTCCTGAATATAAACTAAGTAACAGAATGCCAATATTGCAACAGGATGTTCAAACAGATGTACTAAACACCAAAAATTAATGCATAAGCTTTGTTAGCTTTTCCAAGGTGTATTTCCCCCTCTACCAAATGCTTTCTTTTAAAAAAAAAATCCCTTGCAACTCCATGTGAAGATTCTAATACCACAACTTCCTGTCTGACTCATTGAACACAGACTGCTGAAGTAATGAAATTTGAAAAAACAGAGGCAAGAAAAACGTTACAACGTTGAATATATTCTGTACTATGAATTTTCATGGATACCTGGCTTAAGTGGCCAAGACAGGCAGAAGTGTCCCGATAAATACTAAAAATAGCATAGAAACAGTGTCATTTATGGTAGCCAATGGCACAAAAAAGCAGTTCACTGCTAGGATTCTTAAGTCATTATGCAAGAACTATTTTGAGATGCAAGTTATCCTGCTTCTTCAGTTAACCCTAAAACATGCCAGGTTTAAAAGAAAACACAAATACGTCTAAAACTTCCAGTTAGCAAATCCTAAATATGGAAATGCTTTGTTCTCATTCTATAGTCTCTGTCCCATTTGGATCATTCTTCCCATGTGTTTTAGGAAAGCCCATCTTCTGGATCAATTATTTCTGTTTTACTCGCAAACACATCAGCTAGCATATGCTTTGGTATCTCAGACCCTCTGACTTTCAATGTGTAGCAGGCATTCTCAACTTTAGCCAGACTCTGTTTCAAGGTATACAGTTTTTTAGAAACTTCGTAAGGTCCAGTGTTGCCAATATAGGAAAAGCCATCATAAATCTGACGTAGGAACTGGCTCAACTCAAAGGGGGTATCTATGTCACCATTGCCAACACTGTTGATGCACATGCGCATCAGCTCTCCGGTGAGATCAGCCACTCCCAGGAGATAATCTACAGGAGAAACCTTCAAGATCCAAGTGTGGTGCTGTTTATCGAGACAATCAGAAGAGACCTAACAACGAAACAAAGCAGAACATACATCTTAGAACACAGGGAAACTCTAATTTGTTAAAGTCTTAAGACGGACAACCAATTCAGTAAAAAACTTGTAGAAATAAAATTGTCTTGCTCTCTTACCAATTAATGCATTGCTATGCTTGATGTTTTCCAGTTTCCTGTTCAGTTAGACAAGTATGAATCCCTTTGCTGTGCCTCTTTAGAAGCAGCTTACCTTTATCTAATTGGGTTCTCTACCTTTCTTCCTGGCAGTCTGCTGTGCCTTCAGTGGTTACATATTACCCTTTCAGTCATCTCCATGCCAGGAAAAGTATCACCTTTTTACCTGTAATGCAGCCCTTAGGGGAACAGAGCCCCAAGATAAAAAGCTGTTTCTTAGCCTAGATATTTTTTTTAAGCCATGATGCTATACATGGGGCTAACAGAGGCCCCCTGATCCCCTCATGTCAGCAGATCATTCTACAGATGATGGTGGTGGTATGATGGGAGGCCACTGTGTGCAGGGACCAATAACTGTTTCACTATTGCTGCAAAGCTAGTGAAGTAAAATTCTGACTCTTATTCAGGTGTTTGGTTTAAAGCTACTGGACTGAGCTAATTCCTCTGTTCGACAGAAATACCATAGTTCCAAAGGTAAACTCACTCACTATCATGGAAGAAATTGAGACAGGGATACAGTTTGCTCAGAAGCTACTTGCTGCTTGGGGTTGGGGTTTTAGTCACTTAGATCATGGATACCTGTCAGTAATTACATGGAGTTCACTTATTCGGGCAAAGGAATCAGTGGAGTGCCAGGAAAAGTGTCACCTCAAAATCTCTGAAAATTAGTATTTAAACAGGGCAAAGTTATGGGGAGGGACAAAGTGTTATAGAAGACACTGAAAATCCTGCTAAGCCTTGCTTTTGACACTTCACTGAGCTTTTATAGAATTCCAAGCTTATCTTTGTTGCTGAAAAGGCTTGAAAACTACATTCTTCCATTTAAGGCTCACATTCTGAGGATATGGATTTCAACTCAATAGATCAGCTTTTGTGCTTGCATAATGTGCTATCTGAATCACAGCACCAAGTACATTGAGGGTAGGGTTAGGGTTAAGCCTGAAAGAATAAACTTCAGGCACATTTACGAAGTTTGATTTATACTGGGTCTGTCTTAAACTGTGGAAATTTTTAAATATGCACTTGTATCCATAATTTCAGTGAGTGGAACGCCACCCCCACAATGGGACTGACCTACCATCCACACTCATTGAAAGCATGTTTTGGGGACTGAGGGACCCTCGGGAAAAATGCATGGGACAGGGCCCAGAGGGGGAAGAACACCAAAAACTGGATGACCTTTACAAGCGGCCTCTACCTAGTTTTTTCTAACCCCCCCCCCCCCCGCGCATCCTATTCCACCTTTCCTGGAGGTTCATCAACCCAAAGAAAAGGCTCTTCAGTGGGATGCAGTGGGATGTAATATCTGGATAAAACCCTAGAAAAAGCAATTCCTACAGTATATCCCACCAATGCTCCTAAATCCCAGTCTCCTAACTCCTATACGAGTGGATAGATATGTTTAACATATAAGGAAAAGTTTTTTCTTCTGCTGTTTTTATGATCTTGAAGTTATAACTCCTTAAACTGAGACTGCATTTTATTGGGCTATAACTATCTGAAGTAATTTTCTTCAGAAGGTATCTGGGCGTACAAAAATAAATTACCTGGCTTCTGTCTAAGTGCTCTCCATGAGTCATTTGTAACAAGAGAACTCGGTAGACCGCTTATTCTGGTAAGAATCCCTTGTCAACAGTTAAAGCAGAACAAACATTACGATTAATGGTTTGGGTTAAGGAGAACCATTTTGCAAACACCAAGATTCTAAAACATCAGGGTCCAAAAGAACACAATATACTCTGTCTATGGTTCAATTCCACTTTTTTTTTGGAATTCAGACAGACCAGCTGCTTACTCAGATTTCAAACTCCGAAGATACGTTTTCCTATGCTAACCTCCTGAATCAATCAATTTATATTAAACATATTTGAAGGACCTGCAAGATCCACTGGAATTTCCTTGGTAAATATGCAAGTTGGAAGACTTCTGTGTATATCTTCCATGAAATTTCCAAAAGTTAGAAATAAGCAGAAGCACTGATAAATATGAACCCTTCCTATAAGAAAAGCCTTGCTGGATCAGGCCAAAGATCCAACTAGTTAAGTCTCCTTTTTCCTAGAATGACCAATCAAATGCCTAACGAAACCCAGCAGCAGGACAGGAGTGCAAGAACCCTTCCCACTGCTGGTACTCAGCAACTGGAATTTGAGAGAGAAGCTGGCCATAAAGGTGTCCTGGCAATGGCCATCAACAAGCTTATTCTTCAGACTAATCTCCCAGTGGCAATTACATGGTAGCAAATTCCCTAATGTCAACAACATACACATTTTCTTTTGCACTAATACCTATCCAAGTTCTTACTTACCACATATACTTTAAACACACTCTCATCCCAAGGCTAACTTTGCTCAATTTGCACAAAAGGCAAAAAAATTACAGAGGACAAGGAAGCACACTCTCGTGTTAATTCAAAGTCTTCTTAAGATGACATGCCATGTCATCCTCCAACTTTTCATATTTCTCCAGAAATTGTCCACAAATGTTCAGCCCGTAAGGGTTACAAAGCTGGTATTTATTTTAAAGATGAATGCTGCAATATTCTAGATACTTCATTCAACACCATCTGGGTTTCTTACATTAATCACTGAAACACAGAATGCTGGCTCATATGCTACAAATAGTAGAAAGCTTGATAAACTCTCATTAAACAATTCTGATTTTATCTTTCTGACAACTCTTTTAGCAAAAAAACTCACTTCACAACAAAACAGCTTGCTTATGGTGCGGTACTTGTTCTGTCCGTGTACCCATAAACCCTGAACTTAAGAGGCTTATGGGCATTCAACAGAGGGAGAGGAGTGGCAAAGGTGATTCATGCCCCCCACCCCTTGCATTTTTACTAAAGAGGCCTTTTGCCTGACTAGCTGGAATACTTGGAGCAGGAGGGAAGGAGGCTGCAGCAGCTTCTGGGCATTTTGCATTCTGACTTCTCCAGGCTCCTCCCCTCCCCATCAGTCCAAAACGCTCCTGGCTATGAGGAGGAGGGGAGCTGGAACTCCAGTTCTCAGTTCCAGGACCAGAGCACAGTTTCTGACCTTGAATCTGGAAATCTGAAAAATCCTACAGCCTCTCAGACATTAACTGTTAGTGTTAATTCAGTGGCTCAAACTCAGAAGGTCAACTTTCTTTCCAACTGTATCAGTTATTATGCTTTTTATATTATTGTAAAAGGTAAAGGTTTCCCCTTGACATTAAGTCCAGTCATGCCAGACTCTAGGGGGCGGTGCTCATCTCCGTTTCCTAGCCGAGGCAGCCAGCGTTTGTCCACAGACAGTCTCCACAGTCATGTGGCCGGCATGACTAAACACCGAAGTGCACGGAACGCTGTTACCTGCCCACTGAAGTGGTACCTTTTAGCTGGGATGGAGCAACGGGAACTCACCCCGTTGTGCAGATTCGAACCGACGACCTTTTGATCAACCAGCCCAGCAGCACAGCAGTTTAAACCACTGTGCCACCTGCAGTCCCATATATTATTGATAATGCTCTAAAATAAAGAACTTATTTATGTAATACATCACCAGTGGGAGCACACATGTTCTACTCTGTCAGTTAAATTCTCCCTACATCCAAACCATACCCACTTTTTAAAATCAGCATATACAGTGGCTTTCCATTCCACTCAAAGGAAGAAAAAGATACCTGGCAACAATTTGGTTATATACAAAATATTTTACATGAGGCAAGAGAAAAATGGAAACAATTATAGTTATTCAGGAAGAGATGCAAGGCAGGCAATGAGAAACTACAGATAAGCTGTAGCTCACTTCTACATATCAAATTAACACAGAAAAAACTTTAATGGTAGAAAGGTCATGCAGTGGAAAAATCATGAACTGTGACTGAAGCCTGAGCAACAGAACAGATTATAAGTCTTACGTCATCATTTGCCTACAACAGTTCACTTTTCCTTTCATCAGGCTCTGTTTATGTAAACCTTTTAACAGGACTGTAAAAAGGTAATAGAAAATGCCTGAACTTGCTCACTCTCACACATCATACTCCACACAAGTTCAGCTTAGCAAACCAATGAAAGGTGAGACCGAACAAAGTGCAGACAAGTTTGCAGCCGACAGAAACAAAGAGGGAAATCTCTTTTTGGAGAAGATGCCAACCTAAGCTGAAGTACATGAAATGGAAAGTGGCAAGATCTGGCTGGCAGGAAGCCTGGGGGTTTCAAGGTAGAGTCATTTAAACTCTTAAGGAATGTGTGTCACTGAGCTCAGCACTCTTTTGGCTACTCCTCCAGCAAGGAAGAGATAAAGAGATATGAATCACAAGCCAAATGGCTTGCCAATTTTGTGCCCTTAGAAAAAACTATTAACAGCTTCTGTCTAGCTGGGTGTACCCAAACTCCAGGCTGCTGCCCTCTTGGGAGTACTTTATGCTAGCACTGGACTGAAGTATTGCTTGTAAGTTTACTGATGATTTAACAAGGCCAGAAAAGTGGATCAAAAGGGAAGAGTTATGTGCAGTGACAAGGGGAAAATTAATTTATATTTGCAGAGCATGTGTGTGGCAAGGAAGAGCAATAGTTTACATTTCACATTCCCAGCAGCATTCTTACATTACATTACATTACTTCACTTCTCTTATTTTACTTTGCCACTATGGCAACTAGCAGAAGCACTTCTAGAAAACATCAGAGCCATTTCCTCCTATAATATCAGTGTGCAAAGATGCCTCATCATGGCAACATTATGGGGCAAAACACCCCCACTAGGAACTGTATCTCTAGGGAAAAGCATAAGGCAAGAATAGGTATTTGTGCTTGTTGTTGTTAGTCGCGAAGTCCTGTCCAACCCATCGCGACCCCATGGACAATTCCTCCAGGCCTTCCTGTCCTCCACCCTCCCCTGGAGTCCACTTAAGCTCACACCAACTGCTTCAGTGACTCCATCTAGTCACCTCATTCTCTGCCGTCCCCTTCTTCTTTTGCCATCTATTGTTCCCAGCATTAGGATCTTCTCCAGGGAGTCCTTCCTTCTCATTAGATGGCCAAAGTATTTGAGTTTCATCTTCAGGATCTGGCCTTCTAAAGAGCAGTCAGGGTTGATCCCCTCTAGGACTGACCGGTTTGATCGCCTTGAGGTCCAAGGGACTTGCAGGAATCTCCTCCAGCACCACAATTCAAAGGTCTCAATTCTTCAGTGCTCAGCCTTCCTTATGGTCCAACTTTCACAGCCATACATTGCAACTGGGAAAACCATAGCCTTGACTATACACACTTTTGTTGGCAGGGTGATGTCTCTGCTTTTTAGTATGCTGTCTAGATTTGCCATAGCTTTGCCCCCAGGAGCAAGCGTCTTTTAATTTCTTGGCTGCAGTCCCTGTCTGCAGTGATCTTGGTGCCCAGGAAAATAAAATCTGTCACTACCTCCATTTCCTCCCCATCTATTTGCCAAAAAGTGAGAGGACTGAATGCCATGAGCTTAGTTTTCTTAATGTTGAGTTTCAAGCCAACTTTTGCACTCTCCTCCTTCACCGCATCAAGAGGCTCCTTAGTTCCTCTTCACTTTCTGCCATGAGAGTGGTATCATCTGCATATCTGAGGTTGTTGATATTTCTCCCTGCAATCTTAATTCCAACTGGTAATTCATCTAGCCCCGCCTTTCTCATGATGTGCTCTGCATATAAGCTAAATAGGCAGGGTGACAGTATACGGCCTTGCCAAACTCCTTTCTCAATTTTGAACCAATCAGTGGTTCCATGTCCAGTTCTCACTGTTGCTTCTTGACCCGCATATAGATTTCTCAAGAGACAAATAAGATGGTCTGGTACTCCCATCTCTTTAAGAACTTGCCACAATTTGTTGTGATCCACACAGTCAAAGGCTTTAGCATAGTCAATGAAGCAGAAGTAGATGTTTTTCTGGAATTCCCTAGCTTTCTCCATGATCCAGCGTATGTTGGCAATTGGATCTCTAGTTCCTTTCCCTCTTTGAAATCCTGCCTGTACTTCTGGTAGTTCTCAGTCCACATACTGCTGAAGCCTAGCTCGTAGGATTTTGAGCATAACTTTGCTGGCATGTGAAATGAGTGCAATGGTGTGATAGTTTGAACATCCTTTGGCATGGCCCTTCTTTGGGAGCAGAATGTAAACTGACCTTTTCCAATCCTGTGGCCACTGTTGAGTTTTCCAAATTTGCTGGCATATTGAGTGTAGCACTTTTACTGCATCGTCTTTTAAGATTTTGAATAGCTCAGCTGGAATACTGTCGCCTCCACTAGCTGTGTTGTTGCTCAGACTTCCTAAGACCCATTTGACTTCACATTCCAGGATGCCTGGCTCGAGGTCAGTGACCACCCCATCATGCTTATCAGGGACGTTAAGCTCTTTCTTGTATAGTTCTTCTGTGTAATCTTGCCACCTCTTCTTAATCTCTTCTGCCTCTGTTAGTTCCCTGCCATTTTGGTCCTTTATCATGCCCATCTTTGCATGAAATGTTCCCTTCATATCTCCAATTTTCTTGAAGAGATCTCTGGTCCTCCCTATTCTATTGTTTTCTTCTATTTCTTTGCACTGTTCATTTAAGAAGGCATTCTTATCTCTTCTAGCTATTCTCTGGAATTCTGCATTCAGTTGGGTATATCTTTCTCTTTCTCCCTTGCCTTTCGCTTCCCTTCTTTCCTCAGCTATTTGTAAAGCTTCCTCAGACAGCCATTTTGCTTTCTTGCATTTTTCTTTGGGATGGTTTTAGTTATTACCTCCATCCATAGTTCTTCAGGCACTCTGTCTATCAGATCTAATTCCTTAAATCTGTTTGTCACCTCTACTGTATATTCATCAGGGATATGATTTAGGTCATACCTGCGTAGCCTACTGCTTTTCCCTACTTTCTTCAATTTAAGCCTAAATTTTGCAATGAGAAGCTCATGATCTGAGCCACAGTCAGCTCCTGGTCTAGTTTTTACTGACTGTATTGAGCTTTTCCATCTTTGGCTGCGGAGCACATAGTCAAACTGATTTCTGTGTTGACCGTCTGGTGATGTCCATGTGTAGAGTCATCTCTTGGGTTGTTGGAAAAGAGTGTTTGCTATGACCATCGTATTCTCTTGACAAAATTCCGCCAGCCTGTGCCGTGCTTCATTTTGTACTCCAAGGCCAAACTTGCCAGTTATTCCAGTTATCTTTTGGCTTCCTACTTTAGCATTCCAATCCCCCATGATGATAAGGACATCATTTTTTGGTGTTAATTCTAGAAGGTGTTGTAGGCCCTCATAGAACCGGTCAACTTCAGGCTCTTCAGCACCAGTGGTTGGGGCACAGACTTGGACTACTGTGATGCTGAATGGTTTGTCTTGGATTCGAACTGAAATCATTCTGTCATTTTGGATATTGTATCCCACTACTGATTTTCCTACTCTTTTATTGACTATGAAGGCTACTCCATTTCTTCTGAGGGATTCTTGCCCACAGTAGTATACATGATGGTCATCTGAATTAAATTCACCCATTCCTGTCCATTTTAGTTCACTGATTCCTAAGATGTCGATGTTCAGTCTTGTCATCTCTTGTTTGACCACGTCCAGCTTGCCTTGATTCATGGATCTTACATTCCAGGTTCCTATGGAGTATAGATCTTTGCAGCACTGGACTCTCCTTTCACCACCAGATACATCTGCAACTGAGTGTCCTTTCGGCTTTGACCCAGTCGCTTCATTCTTTCTGGTGCTACTAGTAGTAGCCCTCTGCTCTTCCCCAGTAGCATACTGGACACCTTCCGACCTGAGGGGTTCATCTTCCGGCGTCATATCTTTTTGCCTTTGGTACTGTCCATGGGGTTTTCATGGCAAAGATACTGGAGTGGGTTGCCATTTCCTTCTCCAGTGGATAATGTTTTCACCAGCGGATCCCCTAAAACTCACTAAAAGTGCCTTCCATCTTTTGCAGCAAGAAGTCAAAAGAGAATGGCGCCCTACCCTACTTTACACTCTTTATCAATAAGTCTTTAAGGCAGTTATCATTCCACTTTTAGAAATGATGAAGTAAGTTGGAGCACCCAGCAATTACTTGAATCAAATGAGATCTGAATGCAAGTTTCTTCTGCCAAAATGCAAGGAATCCATTTTGGGCAGAAAATCTGCTGGCTTCCCTTGTTTCAGCTCCCTAAACTCTGGCTTGTTTTGCAGCAGCCCTGACTCTTCCAGGCGAGTGAACCCAGGGCGCTTGCCAGAAATTGAACCTCACACATATTGCACAAGCAGTGCCGATTGGGAAAGAGGGTTGGCCACTGGGAATGGCAGCTGCGGAAGGCTGCTAGTTGCACAACTGGGGGCCTGTGAGTGTTTGCATACTTCCTCTTGTCTCAATGCACTTTGCAGGACTGGGCAGAGCATGAGAGGAAATCTATGGATTCTGGAGGGACAGATTCTGAAACGGTTTGTCCCAACCTGAATTAACATTGTATTAACAATCCTAGCAGACCCTGAATTCCTGATGTCTGAGATTGCCTTTAAAAAGCACTTATGCATGCCTTTTCCAAAAGAAAAGTGGCATTTTTGTTTCATTTTTCATTACCAGGCATTACATATATTATGATATTATTGAGAAAGGGTAGTAAAATATATCAATGTTTTTTCCCAGATCATTTTCATAGAGCTTTATTAAAGCTACACAAATATGACCTACTCAAATTTATTGATCAGCACTAGAAAAGAAAGGCCTGTTCTCCAAAAACCAAGAAAAAACAGAGTTAAAAGCAAGTACCACCTATTAATCACACTATATAAAAAGGAGTGGACTAAATAGTGGACACATTTTCTGTTAAACACAATTGCGATTAAATAGTTCATTAACAAGTACAATTAATAGTAGTTCTATAGTTAATGAATAGTAGTTTATTAACAATTATGAATAGTAGTTCATTAACAGCAACAAGTCTTTTAACTACCTTTGTTTCTTCATCTTTATATTCTTCTGTAAATATCAGCTGTCTGTTGATCTCTTCTATGCTAATTAATGACCGGGTTTTGATAAAATACTGGAATGACACAGCTTCCACATATTCCTGAAGACCTGTTTAAAATGCGAAAAGGAAAAGAAAAATCATACTTCATTGTAACCACTCATATGTCTTAATGCCTTTAGTAATATTTATTTACTGAACTGGTATACTGTTCCACGTCTACATGGATTCTAGAGCAATGGACAATAGAAATAAAACAGATAAAAGCATAAAAGCAATGCATTCAAAAGAGAATGATGCTAAACTGTGACTGGACAACAAGGAAGACTTCCTGGAACAAAGATGTTTTCAAAAGGCACCAAAAAGTAGCAGTGTCAGAGCCTTTCTGAACTCCAGAGGCAAGAAGTTCCACAGAAGTGAAGTCACTGCACTAAAGGTTCTTCGCCAGGTGGATGCCAATCGGACCATAGGTCCATGTAGAACCACCAAGAGAAAAATCTCCAACAGCCCCAGTTTAGCAGTATCTGCAAAAAGGAAGTCAATTCTGGATCCAAAAACAGAATGGATGAACATCAGCATCTCTCTTGTCACTGTCACATGCCACATTATACTACTTGCAGTCAGTAGACTTTACATTGTCATTACTACAGTTTTATACTGATTTATTATTTAAGATATGATCCCTTGGTTATTGTATGTGCAGATAATACTGTACAATACATCTGGATAGGGAGCATGTGGCTCCCTTACACCACCACCTTTATTGTCTGTTTCCAAAATGCTGGTCTACAGCTTGGGGCCAGGCTACCCGAAAGCCAGCCTTCTGCCATATGAACAAGTCTAAGTCTTAAGATATCCTGAAAAGGCCCTTCTTTTGAGTCTGCTGCCTTCAGAAGTATGTTTGGTGGCAACCCGAGAAAGGTACTTTTCAGTGGCCTTCACAAGGGAGGCTAGGTTCACTCCCTCTCTGCTGTCCTTCCTTGACAGCTGAAGACAACTTTATACAAAAAGGCCTCTGGCCTGTAAAAAGGACTGCTTGGTTCTGCAACAGTCATATTTGATTATAGTTTGTTTTAATTAACTTGAATTATGCCTGTAATCAGCTTTATTGCCATGTTTCCATAGAAAGGCAGAGCACAAATCAAATAACTCAAATTTCCCTACTGCATTATCAAATTGCTTTGCTAGCTTCTCCATTTTTCTCTATGAGGGCCTACCTTAAGAAGCTGCAGCTAATACAGAATACTGCAGGTCACCTAGACGTTTGTGCAAAGAATTCACAGTGCTGATGACAATCTACATGGTCTACAGTTTGTATACTTTAGGAAGAACAACCTTCTACATGTTCCACAACCCTGCATGATGACACCTATGCACATTTATGCACTGCAGTAAAATCCCAAGGAACATGGGTTTAGTCACCTCTCTGTAGGTGCTTTTCTAAAGACATGATTAGTATTTTCAAATGTGCATTCTTCAGAGGCTGCATTATATTTTATTGCAGTTTTAATAACTACCCTGAGCCCTTCAAAATAGAGAGGCATGATAATGACTAAGGTTTTTAAAAGTTCTCATATCCAAAACACAGCAGTTCTACTGTTATACTAACGACCACTTGATTGTGTTTTCCTCACTACAATCAAGAGTTTGCATGAAATACGTGCCTTTTAGAAGTCCTCCACAAAAAGCAGCTTGCAAATGACATTTAAGATGACCCAAGACCTTGACATAAGGTGTTTTTAATAAGCAGGTAAAAGGATGTTTAAATATATTATATTGTAACTTAGTGGAAGGACATCCGCTCCTTTCGGCAAATAATCCCCAAGGTGAAAAAAAATCCATCCCATTTCATGATTCCATCCAACAATACCTTCCTCCTCCTGCTCTCAGTTTTGGGTTGTGTCCAAGAAAAGAATTACTTAAGGATCATGCTGCCAGTAAGGGAATAGTTTATAAGGCTGCTTTTGTGTAGTTTGTTTTCCCTGAGCGAACATTGGGAAACCCAGTTAAAAATCCATGATTGCATCTGCCAGCACTTCCTCAAATGTTTAGACAGGCTAGAAGAACAGGAGCGATGTTGACATTTTGTCTTAGAATCCTCAAGACCCATCAAATCAAAGAGTTATGCAGACATTACCCTTATAGTTTACAAGAGTTCTTTTCTCCTCTCTGTTTAATAATATTCTACATGCACGGCACACAACTAGCATGCTGGCAGCCAACACAGAAAGAACCACACCAAGTGCCCTCTGAAGTCAGGAAAGCAACCTTGGAGAGGAATAGAAGGGAAGTCGGGAGGGAGGAGACTACAGAGGGCAGGATATGAAGTATCCTGAAGCTGTTCCAGCCTCCTTCCCCCACCCCCATGACGCTCCAGCTAGATGGGCAAGAAAGTCTACCCAGAGAAAATGCAGAGCAAGAAGATGGTGAGGCAAAGATTACCTCCGCCATTCCTCCTGTTCTGTACTGAGGGCTTATGGACACCTCAGTAAGATTAGGTCCTTAGTTCCACAGACTTTAAGGAGAATGAACAAAATTTAAACCCATTCATTCACTCACTCACTCACTATATATAAGCTTTTGTATGCCGTCCTATTATACAAGATCTCAGGACAGCTTACATAGATCCCATAGATCCACAGCCTATAGGGAAAGGTCACATTACAATATTTACATATGTAACAATTGTGAAAATTGCCCATGCACTTTTGGAAGGATAAAGTTGTCTATAGCATTGTAGGGTAAGGAGATGCACAAAACCTAATAATGTTATGGTTTTCTTAGCATATCTAGAACCTTTGCAGGTCTCAACCACTTGTACCATGGAGGCCCTCAAAATACTCCTGACAAACAGAAGAGAATGCAGGTAGTACAGCTGGCATTTAATATTTAAAAAGTGGCAATTATACTAAATTTGCCCCTCCCCTCCCGAGTTTTCTTGTGTATTCTAATCCCTCGATCTAGCTGCAGCCTCAGCTCTTTTATTGCTTGCTTTATTTAACAAATACCTGTTTGACAAGCAAGCTATACCACAACCAGTGCTTTAACTAATTTGAGTTATATTAAGTGTTACTTAAAATAATATTCAAGTAAGTGAGCTCCTTTAGTTCTGTCAAGATCTTCGGCGTGCAGACCATAATTCTGGCAATATGATGCATCAGATTCTAAAGCAGTGAGACTTTTATCACAAGGAATCTTACAGCAAAAGCTTAACAGTTGCACATTTCAGAAAACATATGGCTGATGACTCCTTGCCATGACCACAACAATTTTCTTACCAAATTGTCCATATAACAACTTTAGCTTTATCAGAGATCCATAACCCACTAGTTTCCCAGTTATAATTTCTGTAGCCCAGAATACTGGATGAGGTGAAATATTTCCTGAAGCCATTCATCTCACGCAACCATTAACTAGTGTTCAACAGAAAGATCTGAACAATTCTGCACACCCATACAGAAGTCAGTACCAATTCTACACTCTACATTAGAACCACTATAAGATGTGAGACCAAGCTTAAGAAATCCAAAAAGCAACACATGTTCAAGAACAAATCCATGAAAGTTCCCATGCAACAAAGAAGTCAGTGCTCAAAGCCCCACGTCTAAAACTCAAGATGGATGCTTGCCCAAATGTGCCTAAGAATCCATAAGGCAAGAATATAAAGTCCACAAGTAAGCAAAGCCTGCAGAGAGTGTGACCATCTTTTCATGGCAAAGTCTTCACAAAAAGCAAAAGAATCCAGATAAATGAAGTCTATAAACAAAGAGTTTCCTTAACCCCAAGCAGTGATACAGTCAAACCTAATGATGCAGGCCGAGAAAACAAGATATTTCAAGCAGAGAGTAGCTATAGTAACTCCCCTGCCAAACCACTAACTGTCAAGCATTTTAGCCTAACACGAGGCCTGTTTTCCAGCCCAGATGTTTCCTTTCTAAGCTTTAGAAGTAAGGCTTCAAGCTGAGTGATATTTCTACAAGCTCGCCCCTCCTTCTGCTAAATTCTCTGAAAAGCTGTCAGTTCTCATACCTATGAATGTCAAAAACTGCAGCTGGGCAAAATAAGTGACACCACTCCAGCTTCCTTTCACCTGGAAAGAGTAACCCAAGTCTCTCACATCAGTCTTGATCCTCCAGCCAAACTATCTCTGATTCAATTGTAACTAAAGCTAAAAAGTCCTGACAAATGTTCTAATTTCATAATTGCTGTATATCAGAGGGCAGTATCCAATTCTGCAGTGTTCATACAACCACAAATTGAATGAAATGACAGCTCCTAGAATGGATAAGTTTAGCAGAGCTCATGGCAGGAACCCGTCCCATTTTAGAAGAAGGAGTTTCAGCTAGTTTCTTGTTTTTGCACTAGTAGGAACTACCAGTAGCATTTGCTTGCAGCTGGCAAACTGCCAGAATTTAACACTGCCCCAATAATGCAGAAATCATGCGCACTATTTCTAGAGTGGCAGTGTGGGTTTTACTCAGGCTTTCACTATTTGACCCAAGGGAACTGAAACTGATAAGCATATATGAAATTAACCAAGGAAGAGACTGTGTGTGTGTTTCCAAAAGAGATGCAGTCAATACAGGTAGAAACCCAAGTAATTTGAAAGAAGCAAGCTGAAATCTATCAAGTCTACACTTAGGCTACTTCTAACATGAAGAAAAAAAATACACAATTAGCCTTGGAAAAAAGCTATGCAGAAATCTATGCAGAAAAAAAAAAAGTTTCTTTAGCAGACTAACCAGGAAATTGCATTTTGGAATCTAATCTTGTCTCAAAAACAGCTCCTATACCCCCAAATTCTTTACTCTCATGAATTTAAAAAGTTGAGTCTTTTGCAATTACATGCTAGTGCTTCTGCCACATTACCAGTTAAATTCCTGGGTGCTGTGATTGTTGTATACATACTGCTAAACAAAACAGCATAAGGAAGATTCTTTTTGCTATGTATAGTCATTTCTGACAGCCACACTGTGGCTTATCATGGGTTACTTAGGCAACAATCTTATGCAAGGTCGGACAGAAAAAAGGCTTACAAACTGCTGGCATGCCCAAGCCAGCAAACCCATGATGAGGGCCTGAGTGAGACCTAGGCAGGCCAGATTTGGCCAGCAGCTCTGAGATTCAACACTTCTGTTATAGTAGTATAAATACTAAATTCAGCTGAAGTAGAATAAGTAATGAAATTGCATAAGGAAAAGAAAAATGCCTCTTCTTTGATCACCAACAATTATGTTTAGCAGCAGTTTAACAGCCATAGCTAAAGCCATATAAATCAGCTCAAGAATAATTCTTTCATTACATGGATCAAAGTTAATATTTAAGCTATTATTGTTGTTAAATAATAACTTTTAATAAAAATAGTTAAGTTTTTTAAAGCTGGTTTTTTGCTTGTAGAAAGGACATTTAACGGTACAAATATCAGTGTTATGTACAAGTGAGCTGTGTGTCTCACTTTAATGGCATTTCTAATCCTGTAGTTCAAGAACATTAACTTCTACAGTTGAACTGTCCTATTCATGCCAGTCTTGCTTCTACAACCACCTCTCTGCTATTTATTTACCTATTGGATTTCTATCCTGCCTCATTGGCCAAAAAGGCTCCTGGGCTTGGATGATAGTTCTGCATGGATACTATAACATTGCCTTAAACTCAGTGACCAGGTTTAGAGAATATGCTATTGTTTGTTATGGATTTTTTAACCTACATACAAGAACTTGCAGCAAATACCAAGTCTCATTTGGGCATTGTCATGTTATGCAGTCATCCCATGCAATACTGAGCAAGAGACTAAAGGTCAACCAACTGGTGGCAAAGATGCCAAGGCTTGCAAGCACAAGAGTGCTAGTTGTAGGAGACTTCCTGTTGTGTGGGAGGGATGCACATGTATGTCATGAAGACCAATGGACTCATCAGGTGCACTGTATCCCTGGAGGACAGATGAGTGAAGGATTGCCAAGGTTCACATTTTGTGTCTATTTTTAGATTATGATTATTGGTCTTGCTGCTGGTTTACTGTTTTATTGGTTTGCTGTTTCATTGTTTATATTGCGTTTATCTTCCTGTTGTTTTATTGTATTTTTACTCTATTATGTTTTATGGTTTTAGTCATTATTGTCATTTATTTTTATCTGTATTTTTATTTCTATTTGTATTATTGTTTATGATTGCATTGTGAGCCACCCAGAGACCCTTCCAGCTATAGGGAGGCATACAAATGCAATGAATGGATGAATCTAGCTCACCGACAAATATTTCTTCCGTCTTATACTGTGGGAACAAATGACACTGTAAGCAGAGTGTCATTTGAAGAAATCATTGAAGAAATTATTGAAGAAATCATTTTAGACTTTGAAGTTTTAAGGAGGAAAGTCAAGAAACTGGATAAACTTCTCTTCAAACCTTCCTGTTCTTGGAAGAGAAAATAACAGTGAAAGAAAAATATTCCATACTGCCTGACTATGAAGTTGTTGCTGACATGAGAGATTTGGATTCGGGGACCACGGGCTATACTTCCTGCAAGATGGACTGCTGGCAAGGCTGGGTTGCGCCTTACAAACAGTGGAAAGAACGTGTTTGGTTATAGCATGAAGAAGTTCATCAGGAGGGTTTTAAACTGAATCCTACAGGGGAGGGAGACCTTCACCTGGGCATAACAGATGAAAGCTTGCGAATCACAACAGAGAGGGTAGCTCTAATAGTGCCCACCTCCAGGGACCTGTGCTCTTTGATGCACCATGAACAGTGATTGTAACAAATAAACAAGAATGAAGTCCTAACTATAATACTGACAACACATAAGGCTGTAAATGTATGCTAATTACTGAAGACCTACTGAATTTAGTGAGCTTTTCTTCCAAATACACATGCAAAGGAATTTATTTAAATAGCCATCTCACTCAGCATCTCTTGCCTCACATCTTACATGAACGTCTGATTTTACATTAGCAGCTCATGTATGAAGAATGTCTTAGATATAATAGATCCTGGTTCAGTGTAAAGCACTGACCTGAGGTGACTTTTACAATTCTCTTACCCCTCACATTGCACAAGTCTATAAATATCATTATACTGAGTTTGTTAAATATGGAAATCATGACAAAACATAATTAGAATGAGGAAGAAATTCCACCTCTAGGATCCCAAATTAATCTTTGTCTTTCCTAGCACTTCTTCCATTTTCAGGATAAATTATTTCCTCAATAATATTTCCTATCTACTATAAGTCAGAAGATAGACATTCCATACTGCAAGTGTTTCAACTTCAAAAGTAATCACAAAACAGGCAAAATTGGTAACAATGTGCAAAAGTTGCTTTAAAAAGACCAAGTTATTTCAGTATCTGTTTGTTTGTTTGATCATCCCTTGGGACAATCTGTACTGTTGAGAAACGTGTAGAAAATAGACATCGTTTTTGTTATTCAATTATTAGTACTACACTCAGTGTTTGAGCTCATATGAGTATTCTTTGGGGAAAAGTCTTGCGTGCCATTAGCACTATTCCTAATGAGGGAAAGCATGAAATTTCTTTAGTGCGTTGCCAGAATTGTTTTATCTTTATGTCAAAAGAACAACGGTTTGGAGCCACCCCAAAAAAAGCATTTCACAACTGCAAATGACAAACAATATTCCCAAGAATCATACTTGAAGCACTTCTATTTATAGATATATGCTTATTACACCAAACAGAGGCACATCTTTGACAGGTCTGTTTGTTCATTTGTTTTAACAAGGATCATTACTGTACCTCCATTTTTTTAGGAAGCACTGTCCATGAGAAGGCCAGGTTTGGGTTCCCTTGAATTATTTTAATGAGGTATGGCAGGAAAGAGGAGGAAAGGAGATCTGAGGTCTGGGTTCAGGCCAGTAAGCAACATATTTAGGGTTAAGGTTAGTCACTTTTCAATGTTTTCTTTCTGCCTTTTTTGAATTTTCCAAGTATATGAAGTCTTTGAAGCAGGGTGGACAATAACTCAGGCACAGATGGTAGGTAACTGAGCCAAGGACAGAATGCAGTAGATATGTAAAGTCTTTTCACTGATTATACTGCAATGGGATATCTGCAAGAGATCTATTACAAAACTCTGTACATTACATATACATTTCCAGAATGCTTCATGGTTTTAAGACTTTTCTATCTTGTTATAATCCTTTTCAGCCTCATTGTTCTTTAGGCACTAGTATTGAAAGATCATCTTTCAGATAATATCCTGTGGCTTCATTCTTTCTACCCTGCTACTTCATGCGGTTGGAACAGTATTTTGTTATTGGAAACCAGATTCTGGCTAGATATCAGGAAAAATTTCCTGACTGTTAGGGCAATACAACAATGGAACCAATTACTTAGGGAGGGTGTGGGCTCTCCCACACTAGAAGCATCCATGATGCAGCTGGGCAGTCATCTGAGGGGGACAGTTTAACTGGGAGTCCTGCAATGAGCAGGGAGATGGACCTGATGGCCTTCTGCTGTCAGGTCCATCTCTCCCTTCTACTTTTCCATGATTCTATGATCCAGCTGGGTATTTCTCTTTAATATTTAAAAAGATATTAAACTGATTCTCTACTCCTGCTTTTATTTTTTGTTCATGATTCTTCTTGCTCTTCTTGCTTAACATCTGGCACATTATACTTCTCTCTAAGTTCCCTTTCTCCCATTTGCCCTTTTATTAGATTCTAAACCTGGCATCATAGCTATGTCTCGCCATTTTTGTGTAGTGCTCAGGATAAAAATGATAATTCTATGTATATTACTTATAAGTAAAATTATGATGTTTGAATTCAGCTGCAATTAGAATTCAGCTGTGGTATCTAGCTACAGGACTTTTCTAGGGGGTAATGGATATCCCCAGTCTTATTGTTTAGCAATTGATTCATTCGTATCCACTCTCGCCTAAAACTTCCCAAATAAAATCTCTCACATTTGAGCTGACTAGAATGCCCCATATGAAACAGCATCTAATATAGATGGATGAAATCCAGTGCAGTTTTTCCACTAGCATGAAACTAATATTCTTTTTGTGGTCTACAAAATGAAAATAATCTTCAACTAGATCTCAACAAGGAAGTACTATCCTCTTAATCCCTCTCTGTTACAAGGTAACAGCATTACCCTATTAATGCTATTATATGCTTTATCAGAACCTGATTCAGCAGCTTGAAACAGCATTTTCCCAATTTCTATAGGAATATCTGAAGAACCCTGTAAGGATTCCAGGTGTTGTATTACAGTTTGTAGTCACAGCTTGCCTACCCGAAAATGAACTCAAGGGATGCCTGTACTTTAAACTCTAGTGTTTAACATTTTCACAAGGCAGTGGAACAGATTATGTAAAATGTTGGTGTCAGGGATTATCAGTATACAAAGGGCACCACAGTATACCATTCTTTTCTATCAGTGAAGCAGCAGCTTCAAAATCCTGAAATTTTAGAGACTTGAACAAGTTGACTGAATGGATTATTAAATATTGCAATTCTGTAAGTTCTGGATAGTCCATAAATATTCAAATACAAAAGAAATGACAATCCCAATATTGATTATGGAAGTCACCAAAGGATTCATTTGAGGTTTAGAAGCCTCAGCAACACCTGAACTGCCAAGCTGGTAAGTACTGATAAACCACCCTGACTGTTCACATAAATCTAAAGTTCCCCTTCTAGGTCAAGTCAATGTCAACAACCACCAACACAAAGGAGGTGTTATTAACCCAGCTGATAAGTAACAAATTATGCAGAGAATGTTCCAGCTGACCCCTGTACAATCCAAGGTCTGCCCTTAGTCCTGTACAAGTTAGACACCCAAATATTATTTGAGATTCAAGAGCACATTCACCAATCACCCATTAGACTGATGCCCATATGTCAAATTATATAATAAAATCAAAGCAAATTAAATATCTTGAGTTGCACCTAATCTAAATTTAGTTAGCTTTATACATACCTGGAGAGATGGCTCTGTGGTATTGATACATATCCTCTCCCATCAATTCCTGTGCTACTTGCTTTATTTTCTGTCTCACAATATCTAACTTGGTCTCCGATTCTGTTAGTATTTCCTCCCCATTGGGTGCACTGTGATCACAGAATACAAATCAAGTTATAAAGTAGTGATTGGTGAGATATCGACAGGTAAATGTAATCTACACATTGCATGTGGACTATTATATGTTCAACTATCTTGCTTAAAAACACATGCTGTAACAGGATTACACTTAAATTTAATCTTCTGAAGCTCAGAAAAATGCAAATGAACCTCCAAGTTTCTATAGACAAAGTCAAATTTCTCTAAAGCAGAGATGGACAACTTAGAGGCATAAGTATATCTCAATATAAATTAAATACCTTTTTTACACATTTCAACTACTATTTCATACTCACTGTCACAGTGGTCCATCTGGGAAGAGGTGCTTCTAAACAATGTTTTAACTTTAGACATACAATGCAATTATTATCCAAAATATTAATCCAAAATAAAAATGGTACAATCCTGATTATACATGTATGATCAACACTAAAGACTGTACCAGAAATTTCAGTATCAGGAATGGAACTGACATTCTCATTACTTCTGAAGTTCAGACACAACTGCCAGCACCATCCATATGCAAAAGGAGAGTACCAGCAGGACAGGGGAACTCCAAGGTTAAAAAAACTGTGTTTACTAAAGCAAGCCCAAAACAGCACTTTGAAGAATTAGTATGGTCAGTGGCTAAAGAATGATGACTGGCCACTGGAGAAGGTTGGGGGTGGCAAACTGGACTGGAAGGGGAATGGAATATTCTAGAGGGGCTGGCGGGCGGATGGATGAGCAGGCTGGTTGGCTGGCACACTGAACAGAAGTCATTTACACTGCAGCATTTTGTTTCCTGGATGTAACTGTTTTTTTATAATTGCCATAAGGCAGAAATTAAATTAGAAATACAAAGTTACAGAACTTTTCGGAATGAATTCCAGAAAAGTAGGCACATTAATCTGTTACAGCAGATAAACCTTGTGACTCCTTAAAGTGTAGCACTTATATTGCAGTATAAACTTTGGCAAATACAACAAGCAAAACAGAATCTGGCCTACCAAACCACATGACATAAGCAACATGTCAGCATTTAATGTGTGAGCCATGTATTTACAGCTCAATGTTCTGGGCAGTTGGTAAGGATTCAGGTTATAAGATAAATGGTTTCTTTTTGAAAAATAAGTTTAGCATGCTACCCATAGAAGCTCTATTATAAAGACACAAGTAGGAAAATATGGACACAATATGGTATCACAGAGAGTTTCACACAAGCTCTTATTTGTCTAGACTTCTCAGCAATGTCATCTGTGTAGCAACATCAGCAGCTGCAGTTACTAGTACATCAATGTGGCTAAAGAACTGATGCTCATTTCTAATATAATCACAACATTGTCTAATGTGTGTAACTAGTCTAGACAGCACTACTGTTAAGAGACAACAACAGCTACTAATGCTTATTGCAGCACTGCCACCAGGAAATAGACTAGAATGGCAGAAAGAGAGAAAAGAATGTCCTAGGCATGGCCTAGTGTTTGTATACTGAACAATTAAGCACTTCATGTGCACATTCTTTTCTTATGTTTGCTTGAATGATCATAGACTTCCCAAAGGGGGGCATCAGGAAATGCAGTAATTTTTTATTGTAGCAAAGCTTGATTTTTAAGACAGGAAGCAGAGCTCTACAGGTCTGCAGTTGTGTACAGCGTATGCCCCCAAAGAACTCCCAGTCAGCATAAACGGAGTCCATCCTATTTTCATTGCCTTTGGCTTCCTTTGATAGCACGCTTAAAAGAAATTCCTGGGAAGTGCAGGATCCTCTCCACCACCCTGCCCCAGTTTTGCTTTGATCTGAATGCCTCCAGATCTGCGAAATCCAAATTAGTTTCCCTCTCAACTTCGTTTCAATCACATCCCACAAGGCTAGTAGCCCATCTTTTCTTTTTGAAGCAAAATGGAAGTCATCCTACAGAAATAGTGCTAGCTTAAGCTAGGCAACAGAAAATAGAACTCTTGTACTTTAACAATGGCATAGAAGTTCTCTCTCCCCTGAACAAGACACACTTGCTCATTTTGTGCCAACTGCTAAAGGAACAGGAAACCTTGTGTTACATTCTACACTATCATTCTCCTCACTGAACTGCTTCCATCAGTGGAAACAGGAGAGGGGCAATTCTCCCTTCCCCCGTGACCATTTGTGAAAGCATAAAAACCTCTGGAAAAGATTATGGAGCAGTATAGGGGGACTGCAGGTGAGAAAAGAAATTCCCCTTCTACGAGAGGATTCCTGCTAGTACAACATTGTATTTAAGCCCTTTCCTTCCATGTATCTGGTCACTCTATAAGGCATGTATAGCAGAGGTACCCACCTGGTGATCCTATGCAGTAAGAATATGGTCCTTTTACTTTCAATTGTTATATCACGACTGAGTTTCACAAGCCTCTCATATTTATCATGTCTGGTATCAAGCTCTTGCTGAAATGCTGAAGAAAAAAGAATGCAAATAGTCACAGACCACTGAAATATAAGCTGTAAATATCTCAGAAGAACTTCCACTAAATAAAATCCCAACAAATAAACAAATATTTAAAATACCAAGATTAATCCTAATTATTGCTTTTAATAGAGCATAGTTTAGCATCCCTTAATCATCCGATTCATGAACTTTAAAACACACACACACAATCAGAAGCAGTTCACACATGTGACCACTGCTTCTATTCTCTGAGATTTCTCACACATATAAAACTGACCCCTCAATATGAAGCAAGCAGTGCACAAATACAATCTGAAGCCATGTCTACAATCACACTAGTACATTCCAGGTGCCACACTTGCACAAATGATTAAAGAATGATTCCATGACTGGTCATACTGTAAACAAAAGGAATCACATGGAGAAAAGACAACTAAAATGCATGTAACAACCACTCCTCAAGCCTCTAAACAGGTACTTACATCTGAAGGCTAAAATAACAGAAGAAGAATTAGTGCTGTCCTTTTCCTCTCTTCGATAACCATGAGGAAAATGGTCATGCTTCCTTTTTCTGAAACCACCTGTTCCTATATATATGAAACAAAACCAGTGAAAATTAAATGTTATCAAACAGTGTTATATTTACCAAAGAATCAGAACACAGAGTTTGGCTCCCTTAACTTCATCAACCCTGTACCAAAAGGGGGGAAAATAGGTTATCTTCTGAGGCACTCTGTGCACCTGCAAAGCCCAATATAATAGCCTTTAGCATTGGTGAAAACATATGCACCACTCCAGATGTTGGGCTACAGCTGTACTCCTCCTGAACTGGCAACATGTGGAAGACCATAAGTGTTTCTCTGCCTGGTCTAAAGGCAAAGCCCACTTTCCTCCTCCAGATAGATTATAGAGATGGGAAAGGTCTGGGAGATGGCTTGAGACAGCCCTGGTATAAAGTTCATTTACTAGTTTTCACTTGAGCAGCAAAATCATGATTATTATTTTGTTATTATATTGATTTTATAATTTATCTTAACAATACATTCAGTCCATCAGAAATTCTATCAATTTTCAGTGGGTTTTATTCCCAATTACCTGCATAAGTGGTTGTAGACTATGGTCACAACCCTGTGCAGTTGCTTGGCATTGCTGAACACAGCTGGATATCTTTCCTAGTATTACAACTAGGACCACACTGTAAAGGCTGGTACAATTAACAGTACTCCTTTCCTTTACAAGGGTTGCGCCTCCCATGAGCAAACAAAAGCCCAAGGGACTCTCTACAGAACCCACACACATAATAAGAACAATATTCCCCTACTGCCTTGTTCACTGCCAGTAGCATACTACTTTTCTGTTCCCAGAGAAAACAGAGTGGAAGCCATACCATAGAGATGGCCATGGTGATGCTTTTATCCCCAACATACACCTGAGTAAGTGCTCTAGGACTAGCTTTGTACTAGAAACTGAACTAGCAAAACACAAACTTTCTGAAGTAACAGAGCAGTGCAAAATAAAAGTAACCTGTAAAGTTAAGTAGTTCAAGAGTTAAGATATGATATGGGAAAACAGGGAGTTACCAAGTACATTCACATTTGGGTGTGTTTGTAACTCAGAAAAGGACAAAGACATGGAAAGGGCTAACCTTACTGTTTATCACAAGGCCAACAAAAACCAGATGTACTCACCCACCCACCCATGCAATTGCAATAATAATAAAAAGGTTGGACTACCTTAAGTTAGGATTGTTTTCTCCACAAAAGACAGACTTAGTACTATGAAACTGTGATTCCCCAACAATAGAAGTAAATCATAGATGGGTGATGCCTACCATTTGTAATAAATTATATACTGCAGTGCTAAAAACCCATACAAAGCTTCTAAGCCAAGTTTTGAATACTATTTCAAAATAAGGGTCCCCATAGCGCAGAAATGGCACAGGTGGCACCCCTAACATTTCTCTTTGAGCTCTTTGACTTCCCCTATACCTTGGCATATAGATGCATGGATAGGACAATAATTTGCTGAAATCCATTCTAGTCTATAAAAGCTAATGGCACAAACGCACAATCCAATATTATTCAATTCCACTGCATAAGTATGAAACACTAATTATGTTCCATTAACAAATTGAGGAAGTAAAATCAAAGCCATCCTGCATGTCATCAGCCCCATCACCAATGAGGCACATTAAAAATGGCAGAAACGTTCTGTCACTAGAACTCTCATCACTACGGGGGGGGGGGGGAGGGAAGAAGGAGTGTTCATGGCAAGTAGAATCTCCTTCTTTAAATGCAATGTTTAATGAGTGTTATTAATTAGGATGTAATCCTATGCAGCGCTAGACCCTAACCCTAACTCTATAACTGCCAGTATGCTACGTCTTTGTGTCTAAACGTGTACAAGATTGTTCCTTTCAATCATAGAAACAATGAAATTGACAAGCTTTTCCAGCTATATTTCAAGCACATACACGTCTACTTGATGGTTGTACCTGTCGTTTTCGACCGATATAACCCTTCTTCTGCAATAGAACGTGCTTCACCTATTGCACTTCTGCCTGCCATGCAGTTCCAAAATCACAGGGACCCTCCCCACAAAAAAGGCACGTTTCCGATATCTGCTTTTTCTTTCGCTTTTCACTTCAACACAACATTTGTCATCTCTACTCTGTACCCTCGTTTTTGTCTGAAATACGCGAAGGGAAAGATTAAGAAAAACCGCCTAGGCGTCGAGGGCGGGAAAATGAAGCAAGGCGCGAAGACGGGGTGGAGAAGGGGCGAAACGGAGAGAAACAGACTTAGAGACGGATGGCGAGGAAAGGGCTCGCCTGACGCTCCGGCGCCCTCCCACCCGCCGCCGCCGCCGCCCTCTTCCCCGCCTCCATCCGCCACCTTCTTTGCCGCTCATGTCGCCCGCGCTCGCGCCCCGGGGGGCCACGGCCAGCGCTCCGCCCCTCTCGAACACGGCGCGCGGCACGCGCAGCACAGGCCCGGCGCCACCAGCTCCCGCCCGCAACGCAACTGCCCGCTCAGCTCCACGTTGGTCGCCGCACTTGTCAGGACCCTTTCCCTACTTGGGGCGGACTTGGTGTCTACCGCAAGCTCCTGTCAGCAGAGTTTAACTCCGCGCGGCCGAACCCCGCCTCGCCGTCTGCTGCCACTCTGGCCGCGGCTGAAAATGGGGTCGCCTCTTTTAGTAGCACAGATGCGGCCGTTTTCGAAGTTTAGACAGGAACATCAAGGTTCCTCAACAGGCACGGGTAGGCTAGCTATATTCTGCGCGCTCTGTCGCCTCTTCGAGGCCTTCAACTAAGCAAGGCATCGTGGGAAATGTAGTTTTGCTGTGGGAAGTGGCTGCTCGATAAATCCCAACAAATAAATCGAGAGGCCCGAGTTGCTTCTAGACGGTCTGTACTTAAAAGCATGCTTATGAACTAATATTTGTAAGACAAACAAAAGAAACCGGGAAAGAACGAGGATTCTGTCACCTTTTAATACACAAGCTGATGTTGCATACATTTGCCTGGACTAGCAGAGCCCTCTCATCGGATTATGAAATTTTATCCTCAGTATTTATTATTTTAGGTCACCGTTAAGGATAAAACCCAGAGAGTGTACAGCATACATGGCGATGTACACTATAAAAGCATACAAAAGAGATGCAGTAAGATTTAATTATGATTCCATCAATTACATGTTCAATAAAAACAAAGGTTACTGGTTATTTTAAATAAAGTGTAAGTCACCTAAAACCAATAGCCCAAGTACCTATGTAAAGATAAGGGGGGAGGGGGCTTAGAGTTTTCCTGAACACCTGCAGTGGAAGCTGATTGCCAAACAGCTGCAGCAGCGCCAATCAGATAGTTTTCTTTATAAATCACCAGCATGACCATCCTTGGTGGCTGGTTACTGGGAAAGGCCTTTGCTGATGACTTCACAATATAGTCAGTCAGGTATGGAGGGAGGCAGTTGAGTAACCTGGATCCAAACCATTGAAAGGTTAAAAACAGCACTTTAAATTGGGCTTAGCCATTGCAGCTGATGATGCCACAGAAGGCCCTCCGATTTTCAGGCAACCATATGCTGTACCAGCTGCTTTTGAATCATCTTTAAAAGCAGCTACACACATAGCATATTACAATAGCCTGGAAGTTACCAGAGCATGAATAATCAAAGCAAGCTCCTTTCTCTCCAGAAAAGATTACAATTGGTACAATAGCCTGAGTGGGTAAAAAAAAAATGGCTACAGCCACTGCTTGAGCTTCCCTAGTTAGCACCAAATCCAAAAGCACACCCCAAATGCACACTTGGTCCTTAAGCAGGAGTATAACCCCATCTAAAACCAGATGTAGTTTGCTGTCCAGATTACTCAGTTTTCCAGTCTGTTTTCCTGTTTCCTTGCCCTACCCCATTTCAAAACCACTGACATTCAACAGCCTCCTTGGGGGCATTAGGTGCAAATGAGAAGTGAAACTGAGCGTCATACATCATGTCTGCTCTCAAACAAACAAGGAAAGCCTCCATGTGACTACGCAGAGCTAAGCAGAACAAGGCTCAAAGGGAAGCAAAACTAAAGAGTGAACTTCCAGAGATGAGCAGCAGTAAGTATGTATCACCAATCAGCTACTGACTGAGATAAGTACTTTTCCCTTTGTGCGGAGGGCCGGAACCGGACAGGGAATTTCCATGGCCTTATGAGGACTGCAGACTATAGGTTACTCATCAGTGTGGTGTAGCGCATATGAGGCAACCATATTGCACTGTTACAATTAATGTTGATAGCACACAAGATTCACCAAACACACACCTTTGGGGTTGATAGGGGTTGAGCCAACTGGTGTCAGAGATGAGTAGACCCCACTGCCCAGCATCAAGAGATTAGCATTTGCTAATGTCCTAAAAGCATTCATATACCTAAATGAGCTGCTAGGTGTTTGTCTTCCCTCTTACCATCATAGTCATACTGATCTGAAAACAGAGTTTTGAAAGCTGAAACAAGATAATTGTGATGCTGGCACCAGACTGTTGTCAGCTATTCTGCTGAGCTGAAGGTTGCAGCATCGCCATGAAATTTGCAGCTGAACAACAAAGGAAACCTAAAGCCATCTGGCTCCTGTTTGTTATGACCTCTATTTTTTTTCTTTTCACAACTTGGGGGTAGTCCAAACATCATTAAAATGAGCCAGTTGTATTTTGTTTCTGTCCTACACAGTGAACTCAACCTTCCTCCCCTCCCTTTTGTAATGTGAACAGGACACATACCTGTTTTATTGAATGCTGGTCACCTCTTTTGGCCCTCCACGCTTCAGGCAGGATATCCATTCATTCTTGTTTTTGTTTGCATTGCAATTCTTTAAAACGCTGATTTTCTATCTGTCGATTCAGTACCCAGCAGAAAGCATGTGCTTCCCCTTACCCCTCCCACTGTACCTTTTAAAATAACTTTTTTTGCTTTGCCAAGCCACAACAGGCTTCTCTGTGGTGATCAGCTGCTGTGCTACAGTGCAGGAGGTCTGGCAGTATGGTGGCTCCAGGTTCTTGGCTGTACATGTACAAATGCCACTCCAGGGGATTTTCCTGGAGTTAAAACACTTTGGAACTGTCCTGACATTCCATGCCAGGCAGAGCTAGTACCCTTCATTAGAAGGGAAGCCTTGCAAAAAAAAAAAAAAAAAGACTCAGCTCAAGCTGTTAGCCGGAGCTAGCCAGAGAAAACGGTATAATGTTTAACTTTTGAATGGGGTGTGCGCACATGCATGCGTGTGTGTGTGCGGGGGGTGTCTCTGGTTTGATGTTTGCATGTATGGTCTTGGTTTGTTTCATGTTGCTAAGCCTGTTTTTCTATGTGGCTCTGAGAATATTACGTTTTAATTTAATTGCTGTCATTATCATAGTTATTATAGCTGTGTGGATTCTCCCCTCCCACACATCATCTTAGTGTCAACTGATTCTCTGCAAGATGGGAGTTGCTGCTCAAAGTATTTCCACAGAAGTATTTCTGTGTAGTTGTGCAGTTTTCCCCACTCCATTCTGCATGTCTTGTGCCTCAGCTTTCCCTTCCATAGAATAGGTTGCTGACTGTCAGGGATTTAAGACTGTACCACCTCTAGTAATCCCTTGACTGCATCCCATGCATGGCTGAGACATGGCTTCCCTCTTGTCAAATCCTAAAACAATTGTTTTCAAAGCTTGTTTTTTGTTGACTACAGCACAAATCTCATTAACAGCTGTTTTATCATTTTAATGGACATTTTAATTATGTTTTACAGGGACCCTGGGGAGCAATGGGATACCCCCATTAGTGTGGTCATGGGTGGAGGGGTGTATGGCATTGCAGGAACTATAGAAGAGAAGAGTGGTTAAATATTTAACTGCTATCCCTTCCTCTGGTTTTCCTCCCATCCAAAAGATTCCAGGTAACTGTATCAGGCTGTCCTTAGTCTTGGTGGCGCTGCTGTTGAATGCCAAGTCAGCTCAAAATAAAATTCCCCTCCTCCTTGATCTTATTGTGGATGGGGGTGCCGGCCTGGCATGTATCATGGAACCTGGGTGAGGAAGGCAGGAAACATTCTTCTCCTCCAATTGTGCCCATCCAGGTATGCAGTACAGCACCAGTCTTGGCCTGGAGGTCCGGGAGGGGGAGTAGCCGTAATCTATAAGAATATAATCCTTTTCCTGACCATTCAAGGACAGGTCTTGAATGTCTACACCTAGTGTTGAGCAACCGAGACAGGCTGGGGATTCTGTTGGTGTACCGCCCACCCAGCTGCACATCAGACCCCTTACCTGAGCTGACAGAGGTATCTCAGACCTGGTGTTGAAGACCCCCAGGATGATGGTTCTGGGGGACCTCAATTTCCATGCCAAGCCTGCTTTGTCCAGGGTGGTTCAGGACTTTCTGGCCACCATGAGAACCATGGGGCTGTCTTAGCATGTCACTGGCCCAACACATGAAAAGGGTCATACTTTGGACCTGGTCTTTTTGACTAGACGGGAAGATGGTGAACTGGAAGTGGCGGGAGGGGGCGGGGTCTGTTATTAACCTCTTTGTCATGGTCAGATCACTTGCTCATCAGATTTGGACTTATGACTGCTCTTTCCCTCTACAAGGATATGGGACCCATTTAAATGGTCCACTCCTGGAGTCTGATGGATCCAATTGGTTTCCAAAGGCTCTTGGGGGTTTTCCAGATGATATGGTTTTCTCCAGGCAATCTTGGAGGAAACAGATCATCTGATCCATTTCAGTCCAGTTTCAGACCTGGTTATGGGACAGAAACTGCCTCGGTCTCCTTGTACAATGACCTTTCCAGGAGAAGCACAGTGGGAGTGCATCCCTGTTAGTTCTCCTGGACCTCTCAGCAGCTTTCAATATCATTGACCATGGTATCCTTCTAGATAGGCTGGCTGGATTGGGACTTGGAGGCACTGCTCTGCAGTGCTTCTATTTGACCAACCAATTCCAGATGGTGTCACTGGGGGATAGTACCTCATCCCCATGGGAGTTATATCATGAGTACTGTTTAATATCTACACAGAACCAGTGGGAGAGGTCATTTGGAGGTTTGGGCTGAAGTGTCATCAGTATGCTGATCAGTATGCTGATGACACTCCGCTCTACCTCCCATTTACATTTGATCCAGTGTTTCAGCAGGCTGATGGACTGGATGAGGGCCAATAAATTGAAAATCCAGGCAAGACAGAGGTGCTATTGGTGGGTGGGGTCTTAGTCCAGGGGGAGGTTATCCACCCTGTTCTGTAAGGGTTGCACTCCCCCTGGAAGACAGAGTGTGGAGCTTGGGGGTGCTCCTGA